GCCACTGCTTTCTTTGCTGCTGTGTTCGCTGTTTTAAGCCTTTCTGCATTTTCCTAATTTCTGTTTTATAATATTCCTTCCTTGCAATCTTCTTCTGCTTTATAGTTTCCGAGATTTCTTCCTTCCACCATCCAAGTTTCCTTGTCATTGGGTGGTCCTTTATCAGATGTCATCCCCAATATTTCCTCTGCAACTTGTCGGATAACTGAAGCATTCCAATTCCACCACTCTTCAAATCCCTCCCTCAACTCTATCTGCTCTAGCACTCTCTCCCTGAACACACCTCTGGTCTTCGTCTTTCTAATCCCACCACTTAATCTTAGGTATTGCCCTTTTCTTTCCTTTCCTTCCTCTTTTGATGTTAAACTCCCCAATAATCAGGTGATGTTGTTTGGCAGCTGTTTCTCCCTTAATTACCTTAAAATTTCTGACTTCACGTATTTTACTTCTCTTGTATAATATGTAGTACAATTGTATTTTCTGTCCTCCACTTTCATATGTATTGTAAACCTTCTTTTTAAAGGTGTTCAATATAGCCAGATCGTATGCCACCGCGAAGTCAATTAGCCGTTCTCCGCTGGGATTTGCAGCCCCGCTCCCATATCTTCCATGGACACGCTCTATTGCTAAGTTTCTCTCTCCCACGTGACCATTGAAATCACCAGCAATCAAGGCTGTTTCAACATCCGGTATCTCTGTGCACACACTATCCAGGTCTTGCCAAAATTTGTCTTTCTCTTCATCATCACAGCCTACTTGTGGTGCTTATACACTCATTATATTAATGATTGTATTTTCGATAATTAGTTTAATCAACATTATTCGGTCATTCATTCTCGAGACACTGATGACGTTTTCTTTATGATTTGGACTCAGGAGTCCAATTCCATTCCTTCCTCTTCCATCTGCTCCACTGTAGAAAAGCTTAAAGCCTCCCCCCAGCTCTCGGGCCTTATTCCCCCTCCATTGTGTTTCCCGTAGGCAAAGTACCTCCAACTTTCTTCTCTCCATGAGATCCACAACCCCCCTCCCCTTTCCTGACATTCGTTTCTCCGAACCTGACTATAAGGCATTTATTGGTGTTGAATTCTATTTTCCAAGTACAACTCCTCATGAATAAGTTCTCGATGTAATTGTGGAAGAATTAGCATGAGACTACCTGGACTTGTTTTTGACCCTTAATCATTGGTTTACAAAGGTAAACAAAATCGGAGCCAAGATCAGTCCTTGAGTCACCACTCGTGTGGCTATTCGTCGCTATGTAATGGGGGCTAACGCCGACGGGGGCGCATAGCCGTATCCACCCTCTGCTTCCACCTTTTGGGGTCCCTCATGGCAAGGCGCCAGGTAGGGACTCGGCTCATCTCGAGCTCCTCACGACAGGTTTGATCGATCTTCCCGAGCCGCGACTTCCAAGGTCGTCTCACAGGCCTCCTCCACCCAGGGCTGTGTTGTACAGAGACAACTTGGTGGGCAGGATCATCCTGGGGGAAGCGAGCCAGGTGGCCGTGTAGCCTGAGTTGGCCATCCTGGATTGTGCAGGTAACAGGTCCTGTGCCAGTCTCACAGTGCAACCGTTGGTTGGACACGTGGTCCCGCCAACTGTACACCATGATCCGGCGCAAGGACCCATTACAGAATGCATCAAGACGTGACTCCAAGGCACAGGATAATGTCCAGGTTTCACTACCGTATAGCAAAACTGGCATTATCAGGGCCTTGAAGACACGCAGCTTGGTCCTTCTGCACAGGTACCGGCATCTCCAAATACTCTTGTCGAGAGAGTTCATGACCCCTGCTGCCAGGACAATCCGTCTGCTTACTTCCTGGTCTGACAGCCCAGAGTTATGAACTACACTACCAAGGTGTGTAAAGCTCTCTGTGACTTCAGTGTCTTCGCCGCAAGCACGTACCAACCGAACAGGTTCTCCTAGCAAGTCCCCAAAATCCCAGATCTTGGTCTTGGTCCAGGATACTTCTAAACCCATGGGCTTCGCTTCATTACTAAATGCATCGAGAGCCACCACTAAGAATTCCAAGGACTCAGATAGAATAGCAACATCATCAGCAAAGTCAAGGTCGGTAACCTTGATATTGCACAGTTTAGCTCTGCCTAGTATCCAGTTCATGCAAGTGTTGAAAAGTGTTGGTGCAAGAACACAGCCTTGCCTCACTCTTGAACTAACAGGAAAGAAGCTCGACAGCCCCCCACCACACTTTACAGCATTTTCAGTACCAGTATCCAGACTTCAGTCCAATAATCCTTGTTGGAATTCCTATCAGTCTTAGGATCTCCCAGAGAGATTCCCGATGCACCGTATTAAACGCCTTCTTGAGGTCGATGTAGGCTGCAAGCAGCCCACGCCCAAACTCATGACGGCGCTCTGCAATGACTCGAAGCGCAAGGATACAGTCAATTGTGGACTTGCCAGGATTGAATCCAAATTGCTCCGGCCTCTGATGCCTCAGTAGGTGGTCTCTAATACGTCTCAGAAGGATGTGGGCAAGAACCTTGCCTGGTATACTGAGCAGTGTGATGCCTCGGTGATTGCTGCAGTCCCATCGGTCCCCCTTCCCCTTCCAGAGAGGGATGACCACACCCCTCAACAGGTTAGGAGGAATGGTACTGGACCGCCAGATGGCAGCCACGACAACATGCAACCCACGTGCCATAGGTTCCCCACCAGCATTTAACAGTTCAGCTGGGATGCCGCAAATACCCGCTGCTTTGCCACTCTTCAGCTTGGATATCGTCCCCCTAACTTCATTTAGGAAGGGTCGGTCTTCACTGATGGGTGGGTCCGGCAACGGAATCACGGCACTCCCCGCATCCAAGTTAGCTGTTGGTGGGTCAACCTGGTATAGCTAATCAAAATACTCAGCCCAACATTCCCGTACCGCAACATGATCTGAGACGATGTGGCCACTTACTAAGTGAACCGCTGTCACCTGAGAAGAGGGCTTGGGGTTCAGCTTTCTCAGGGCTTGGTATGCAGGACGAAAGTCATTTACTAAGAAATGGCCTTCTACCTCCTCTGCAAGATTTAATAAACTGTTCCTTGTTCCTTCTTAACAGTGACCGAGTTCTGCGCACCTGAGAACGGTGCAAATCCCGATCCCCCTGTCAGACGAGGCGCACGACAGGCATCTGTGGCATCCAGAGTCTCCTGCGAGATAAAATTCTATCTTGCTCTCGGGCGTTCACCAATCGTTAATTTAGCTGCATCAAGCGTTTCGCGCTTGAAGGTGTCCCACAGAAGTACAGAGTCCGTCAGATTTTCGAGCGCTGCGAAACGACCAGAGACTGCTTCAGCAAACCCCCGGGCACACTCCCCCTCCCTCAGCCTGTCCAAGTGGAACACCCTGGGGTGATGATCATTGGACCGCTGGGAGTTTTGAAGTGTACCCGAAGGGTAGCCACAACCAATCTGTGGTCAGTACCACAGAAATCGACACTCCTATACACCCTGCAGTTCTGGAGGATCCTCCAACGAGTGCTAACGAGTATGTGGTCCATCTCCTTGGCTGCATTATCCGCATCGCTGTACTACTCTCTAATTACGGTGCTCCAGTCGAGGAGTCTACCTTTCACTCCACCTAGGTGTTATAACTTCCACAGTAGTCTATGAGACACCTTTTCAAAAGCCTTTTAAAGTTTAAGTACACACAATCAACCCGGCCGTCTCTTTCTTGAACTATTTCAGAAACAGGAGATTTGCTACACACAAGGAAGATCATCCTTCCCTAAAACTAAATTGCTTATTTGATATCATTTTATGTTTTCAAGTACTTAAAACCATTGTTTCCTAATCATCTTTTCTAACAGTTCACATACTACATTTGTTGACGAAATCTCATCTGGTCCTGCTGCTTTAGTCTTGTCTAGTCCTTTTAGTAGGTATTTTATTTATTTCTCTTTGAGGGGGATATTTTCGATATTCTTTACAACACTGACTGAAATTTCTCAATATTACACACATTTCCTCCCTCAGAGTATAAACAAGATGGGCACCTACTCCAAAAGATATGAGCTACGAAGATAGACTACAGAAAACATTTAAATTATTTTTTCTCAAAGAAAATCATAAACATTCTCTTCGGAGTTTAAAGGTAATTGCAAGTCACATAAAGATTAAAATTATTTATCCCCTATCTATCAATATTACCTTCAATATCAATTGTATCATATTTCATAGAGGTTAGAAATAACCACTCTATCTATAAGCAGAGCTAAGACTTGAAATTACTTGAAATTCGGCAGTAAAGGGCGTTTAAAAATTGCAAGAGACTGCAGATAAGGACGCTGCAGATAAAGCCGTATATAGGTGTTCGTTATAATCAATTATTTCAATAACTTATCGTTCATGAGGTATCAAATATAGATATTTTTACTGCCTGACGTGAAACTTTATTATTTCGTCATGACACAAAAATCAAATAAATTGCTGAAAATCTATTTGAACATGTTTATTTTTCTATTTTAGCCTTAGTTAAGATCATCGTTATGACGTGATTATGGCAACGCGCGCGCGCGCACACACACACACACACACACACACACACACACACACACACACACACACACACACACACACACACAACACACACACACACACACACACACACACACACATTAAGGAAAATCTCGGCACAGCTGCAGAGAAAAAATGACAAGGGTTGTTTGTACTTCACACTGAATAAACACAGTACATCCGTAATATATAGCTATATTAACTGACTAAACAGAAGAGGAATACACATTTAGCCAACAATAGATGATAAAGAACAAAATTCGTAGAACATAAACGGACGGAAAATACGAACGGGCTTCCAAGAATCGCGCTCCTTTTGGTGGACGAACGTATACCAGCATCCGTGCATTTCAGCCAATCACAACAAAGAATAAAACTTTCTCTGTCCCGCTCTAGTTTCTGATTGGTTGTGGAGCGAGTTCATCAAAGAAAGTACTATTGCATTACAAGATTGCTTTCAGTTAGCAATATACGTCAGATTACTTCGTAACTACTTTCTATTGACTGTGCTTCAGTTCCGCTGAATATTACTGTCCTCCGACAGTCGAACAGCTTGCATTTTGGAGACGACTCCTTTTTTTCCCACGAAAATTTATTTCGTATATGCTTTGCCTCCTTTCCCCCCTCACCATTCACTCTTTTTCTTAAACTTTTATCCTCCATCGCTGGCGTGGGGCGAGTGCGCAGAGGCGAGTCGGACGAGTAGCGAGTGCGCAGTGTTGAGGCCGATCCCATAGTGTCGTGACGTGTGCGTGCAAGAGCGAGAGAGAGAGCGCGAGAATCGTGTCATGAATAGTGTGTATGTCGGAAAATCTCCAAAATGACGGATTTGCCGACGGATGTGGAGGTGGCAGAGGAGTATCGTTCGTCGCTGGCAGATCTGACGATGAACTCGAAGCCCATGATAACGATGCTGACGATGTTGGCCGAGGAGAACCGCTCACACGCGGCGGTCATCGTTGGGGTGATCGAGAAACACATCCAGCAGGTGAGGGAATCCCGCCATCTTGACTTCTGTTTTAGCATCCTTATTTCTGTTAGTGAAAGGAAGACAAAGCGTGCAGCATTAGGATATACGGGATATAATGTTATTTGTGGAGGAAAGCATTCAATTTTAGGTAATATATAAAAAGATGGCTAGGCTCTCGGATAGTCGCCATCTTCCCTCGGGGTTTTCGCCGTTAGGAAAAGTTTCGAATCGGCCTAGCCAGTGGACCGTTTCTTATTTTGCACTTGATAAATCCTCAGTTCTGCGTTAAACATAGCAATTTGGTAATATGAACCACCTGAACATCAATGTAGTCAGAATTAAAGCCTAAATCTGTTGATGTGACGATGGGTTTGGCAAACAAATTGTTCACTTTATTATTATTGTTCATTTGTTCTTAACCCAATACCCTGTGTCTGGATATCCCACAGATATTGTGATATATTATGTTAAAGGGGCACGAAAATATTGAGCGTCAATTATAAGCAGGGCAAAGTTCTAGAACAATAGGCAATAGTCATCATGAGTTTCATGATAATCATAGATATGAAAACAATATGGTAAAGAATATCTTGTGTAGTTTGATGTTACGGAAAATTTACAGTGGATAACAATCAGAAAGTGAGTAAAGAAAAAGATATGGAATGGTACCTCGCGCACTTGGTGAAAACAAACACTTGTTCAAAAAATCACTGCACTTTACTGAGTTTTTCTGAGAATTTTGTTTGCGTGAAAATGCCAAGGAACTGTGTTGTAGTTGGTTGTTCGAACCACAACATGATGGGAAAGAAAGGTTTAACCTTTCATATATTCTCAGATCGCATAAAGAAACCAGAATAATGGAAGCAATGGGTAGGCCTACAGGCCATGAAACGCATGAATGCTGATGGGAGTGCTTGGGCGCCTTGTGGAAAATGTTTGCATCTGCTCAGAACATATCATTCATATACATATTAATATATTACACCTTTTCAAATTCCAGAGACAGATAATCACCTTCAAACTCTGTCTATCTACACTACCTATCAAGGCCAAACAAGATCAACATTGTCGACATTGTGTTTTGGCAGTAATCATATATTCTATAAAGCACGGTAATTGTTGAAGACCGCGACGCACCCTCGTTTAGACTAAGTTCCAAACATGAGGGGGGACCCCCTCCCCCTTCAAAGGAGGGAGGGGGTCCTCACAGAGACTGATTTCCTAAGGGGGGAGGGATGAGGGGGAGAAATCAAGTTCACGAAGCTCCATTTGGGGGGGGTGCATGATGTCAAAATCTAAATAAAATAAATACCACTCAAACATCGAGGAAAATTGTATTTTTATGAAAGACGAGCCTAAATTTATGTCCTGGCAACAATATAAAGCCCTTAAAATAAAAAACTTTGTCCGACGGACAGCGAATGAAATACCGCTAAAGTAAACAAGCATAACACACAGTGCGTACAAACTCGATATCCGATACACAAATTTTTCACAAATATAAAATGTGGTTATCCTGCGAACCAAAATAACAAAAGCATAAAATATTAAATTAATCCCCCCCCCCCCTAAGTCCTGCTTATTCACATGATGTCAATTTATTTTAAAAATTACTAACAATGTACAACTCATACCGTCTGTGTACAGACGAGATGCAGCATGGAGGAACTGATTGAATATTTTATTCTCCGCCGGATACACCATTTTTAGTATGTGCTTGGCAAAGTACCTGGCGAAGTGAAATTGCATCTAACTTTTCTATTATGTTGGGAGGTTTTGTCGCACCTACATGAATATATATTATAAAATCGTTAGTCACCGTCGCATTTGGGGTATTTAAGGGCTACTGATATGAGGGCATGCGGCCAGCATATTCCTCCATGAATTGCCAGTACCTTCCATATAAAATAATTTTGAATAACACTATGTATCCACTATGACAAAAGATACACTAATTTTGAAATTTTTAAAACAAATATAAATATGAAACAAACATTAAAACAAATATCTTTAACTTACCCCATGTCACACCGCACAAAAATTGCTAGGTCCATTCCATTTAACGGTAAATATAAGGCCTCTGCATCTTAAGATTTCTTCAATCCTACTCTATTTCTTCCGCTCTTTAAGATGGCGGTGTCCATTTTCCTCTATCTATGCGCGTCACAGTCTTCAACCTCTACCAAAAACACAAAAGCTATTTTATTATTTTCGTATTATTCCTTTTTTGTAATAAATTGATTTATACGGAAAATCTGTACGGTATGGCTGCACTAAGTTAGGGCAAATTAAAGATAATGTTCTTGTAGAGGACAAAAAGTAATAGTGGTTCGTACAAGAAATGATCTGCAGACACGAATGGTAATGCCACAAATAAAGGAAAAAAGTAGCAGAAAGTCAAATTGGCGCTGCAGTGGCTAAGTCCACATTTGGGGCGAAAGAACAAGTTACTGCACAGCTCACACACCGTTTTCTGTCCTACTGTGCACCAACGTCACCACTACCTCACTACGACCAATCAGGAGGTGGCAGTTTAGCAGAGATTTTTAATTGCTCATTAAAATTCAAGTATAATATTCCATATACTATATAGTGAAAATGCACACGACTATCGACTAACGTTTCATATATGTTCACGTCTCAACTGTTTTTATGTTAAAATGTGTATTTTGATCCTCAATTTCGGCTAACTCATTAATGTCCTTAATTGCCAAATTACTCAAATACATTCAATACTTAATACTCGCACATTTCTGGTTACACCGGTGACCTGCCTCGTTCTTCTCAGTGACAATGACCGATGTGTGACATTTGTGTTACGGTGGTGTGCTTGACTCTCTCTCTCTCTCTCTCTCTCTCTCTCTCTCTCTCTCTCTCTCTCTCTCTCTCTCTCTCTCTCTCTCTCTCTCTCTCTCTCTCTCTCTCTCTCTCTCTCTCTCTCTCTCTCTCTCTCTCTCTCTCTCTCTCTCGAAATTTAATGGAAAAATCTGAAGAGATAATAAAGTTTTTACAGATTCACTGAGTCATATCAAATGAAAGAAAGTGTGAAAAATGCAGTTTAATTTTCTGAACTGTTTCAGCTTTTATCTTGCAGTACATATCGAGGTGAAGAGAATGTTTGCTGATGGGTGGCAGAGTTCCCCTTCAACACACCCCTCGGGCATTGCCCGAAGCGCATGCCCAGTCACCGTAAATTGGACAAATTTCAGCATCTTTATTTTAATATTATGACGTAATTATGTCTTTCAGTGCTTTAAATTCGACTTTCCCACTTAGTTTGCTTGTTCTTCCATATTTGCAGCATTTCATGTCAGTTTTCTAAAATTCTGTATCCTCCATATTTATCATAAATTTTGGCTCGCATTTCCGAAAAGTCATATTATACTTCAATTATGTGTATTAAGACGGATTTATAACCTTATTTTGAATTGTGCGTATTGTGCATTTCACACTTTCTTTTGCCTGCCGCCAGCTTGACAGCTACCGGACCGCTCATTTCAAGATGTAACCAGTGACGAATGTTGCGTTTCCAGTGTAGTGTTCATTCTGGGTTATTCTTGAGACTATACAGTAACAAAGAAGATGAAATAGACTTCAGTAATGATCACAGTTTAATGTCCGGGCCCACTAAGAGCTCCAAATGCTGAAAAAATTACTAAAATCGAATCAATCCAGATGGTAGAAGGAAATGAACGAAAGTTTAACAGTTGCAGATATGAAAGTATTGGTTTATCATTTTATGGTGTGGATGCAGCTCTATTTTGCTTTGCATACTGATGTAAAAAGAATGTGTTCCTGGGGGTGTTGGGGGGGCAGAACTTAAATTGCTGTATTAGGCTGGTTTATTGGTAACTACGTTTTTGGGGGGGCTTGGAACATGTGAATTCCCGTAGAGTTTTGCCGAAAGGTGGGTTGGGTTCCCTTAGAGTTTTTGAATTCTGGCATGTCAGCCCATAGAATTTTAAAGATGGTTTCATTGGCCAATTTTAAGCGTTTTTTTTTTTTTTCTCTCTCTCTCTCTAGTTTTATGCATTTTTGATCTTTACTCTTCTTCTGTAAGCCTGTTTTACCCCATAGTTTCCCTGATGTACTTCATGCCCTCCCTTACTAACAGGACTATCAAATCAAGATCTTCGATGGAGAAATGGTACTTGATCTCCTGAACAATTTATTCACACAATGTAGAGAAATTGGTGAAATCATTGGATATTCTACAGATAAACATCTATTTCTTTCGACTTAGTCGCTGGGAGGGTGTGTCGCTCTCTGTAACAAATGCCCATTTTTATTTTGTTTGGGGTGGTGGGTTGGAATGTGTGAATTCCTGTAGTTTTGCTGAAAAGTGCGTTGGGTTCCCATTTTTTTATCATTGTTATTCTTATTTAAGGGGCCGCCTTTTTTTTTCTTCTTTTTTTTCCCCCTTGCCATATTTGATGAAACTCACCCATTTATTTAGACTGTAGTGAGTTTTTCTTCTTCTTCGTCGTCTTCTTCTTCTTCTTCTTCTTTGCCGGAACAGTTTTTGAATTATTGTTTAAAAAAAAAAATGAAAAAACACTTAGTCCCCACGTTGAAAATTTACCAGTTTTCGTCAATCATATGTGATCCGGGAAAAAATACACAGGCTTTCTGATGTGATTTTTGAACAGTTTCATCCTAAATCTCATGCTTGTTGCAAGCACTTTTTTCAACCTCGACTTTGAGATAAAAGAGGAAATATTCCAAAAAAAAAAAAAATACAGCCATTCTGAATGCATGTCTGTAATTTTTTTTTTTTTTTTTTTTTTTTTTTTTTTGTGAATATTTTCCGAAAGTGACTTAAAACACCCTAATAGGAGATTTTGAAAATATGTCACTTTTATAAGAAGCACATGAAATTATAGTAATCCCTTATTGCAGCATGTAATAGATATACTATTCAGCTACAAAATGAGCCATAATACGTTAAAATTGGACTGAAAATACGTGTCATGCATAAAAATGTGAAGGACAGAAATTTTTCCCCTTTTCATTATTCATATGTTTTACATGACAAATCATGCACAAAGTACTTGCACATGATATGATTATATATTATTGGCCATTATTGTTGTTCTAATGGAGTTTTATGACACAAAATACAGGGTGGAAAAATTATCGTTCTCCAGTCGGACGTGTATCACACGAGTTCCCAT